CTGAGTCGCTGCTCACGGACGGCCACTCTGGCTCCTGATCAAGCTGCTTAACGACCATGATCTCAGAAATTTCAAAACCCAGTGGGTCTTGCCAGAAATGCATCTGGACCACACAGTAGGTTACTGTTGCCAGGCCACCCGAGGGGGTAAAGGGCGCTGTCCCTCCGCCTGCTCCCCCTTGGCAGCTCGGTGGCTGCCATCTGCCAGAGGCCATTGGACAGTCAGGTTTGGGCCTGCAGTGACAAGACACACGGGGCCCCACGGGATGAGTGTGGACCTCGCCCTTTCCACCCCACCCCAACGAGACCCCGAGTTGCCACCAACAAACGGCCTCTCTGGCTCCTGATCAAGCCGTCTAATGGCCATGATCCCAGAGACTCAGAAACAAATCTTGAAACCCAGCGGCTTTTGGCAGAAATGCGTCCAGTCCCTGAAGTAGGTTACTGGTGCTGGGTCACCCAAGGTGGAAATAGATTTTGTGCCTTGGCCTGTTCCCCCTTGCGGCCCAGTGGCCACCATCCTCCAGAGGCCACTGGACAGTCAGGTTTGGGCCTGTAGTGATGAGACGGGGGGACATCACGGGATGGGGGGTAGAGCCGGCCCTTTCCTCCCTGTCCCAATAAGACCCCGAGTCGCCACCCACGAACGGTCTCTCTGGCTCCCGATCAAGCTGCTTAACGGCCATGATCCCAGAGACTCAGAAACAAATCTTGAAACCCAGCAGCTTTTGGCAGAAATGCGTCCGGACCCCACAGTAGGTTACTTTTGCCAGGGGGGATAGGGTGCAGTTCCTCTGCCTGCTCCCCCTAGGCGGCTCTGTGGCCGCCATCCTCCAGAGTCCATTGGACAGTTTTGGGCCCTCAGTGATGAGACACGTGGGGCCTCACGGGATGGGAGTGGAGCCAGCCCTTTCGTCCCTGTCCCAACAAGACCCCGAGTCCCCGCCCACGAATGGCCTTTCTGGCTCCTGATCAAGCTGCTTAGCGCCCATGGTCCAAGAGACTCAGGAACAAATCTCAGAACCCAGCAGATTTTGGCAGAAAGCCCTCCAGATTTAATTGTTAAAATTTCGGAATTTCAAAATCGCGCAGCCACTGCTGCAGCCACGTGACATCATATGTTATTCATAACCAGCAATAGAAAACAAATTGTCTACTGTTGCCTTTTCAGCAGATCTGAGTGTTGGGGTAAAATCTCAAATGTTAATGGTGGGTCTGGTGTCAAAATATTGAATGTAATCAAAGTAGAGAGAGTAATGTGGAAATCATCTGCTCCACAGGTAGGGGGAGGGTGTGGGATAGGGGTATACTGGGATTTTTGAGGGTGAAGAATGGGCACTGGTGAAGATATGGGTGTTTCATTGTATGACCAAGACTTAAATCTGAAAGCTTTGTAACTGCTCTCACGATGATTCAATAAATAAAATTATTTAAAAAAATTTCCCTTTTTTTTCCTTTCCCTACTAACTAATCTAATATTTTTCCTTCTTCTAATTTTCACTTTATACTATTTCACTCCTTTCCCCCTTAACACCATCTTAATTTATACTAATTACCTGCATTCTAATAGCCATTTCCACAGAGAAATAAATTGGCATAGCTTAGAAAATCACTTGCATATAATGACAATATTTACCTTTTTTATATGCTTGCCTATAGGATGGTTGATAACAATATTAGATTTGTCTTAGTTAAGTTTTTGTTGTTGTTAAATCTTAACACTGAATTTCAACCTCACTTCTTTTTAGTTTGTATGTTAATAATTTGAGACCAATATTAGATTTAGATGCCGATACCCCATTACAGAAATTGTAAACAGTGTTCATACAATATTTGACCTCGATATTAAACTGGTCCTATTGAATGAAAATTGTTAATGATCATTTCAGCAGATATCTGACACCAATTCTATTACTCTGCAGGTCCATTTTGCAACTAATTTGTCTCACAAAATTCACTAAGGAATTAAATTACTTACCATTAAATGCCCCTTGAGTACTTCATTAACTTTTCCCCCTGATGGCTGTACTAGTTGTCTGTTGGTAACATCAACCTGAAAATGTCCCCATGTTAAAATAATTGCAGTTAAGCTGCATTGATACCATTATCTATGCATTTACATGTTAGAACAGAACTGAATTTTATGTCAGAAGCACTTTTCCAGAGGAATATGGGCTATTTGAGAGTCTTCATTCTTTTTTTTTTTTCTTTTTGGGTCACATCCAGCGATGCACAGGGGTTACTCCTGGCTCTGCACTTAGGAATTACTCCTGGAAGTGCTTGGGGGGACCACATGGGATGCTGGGAATGCATGGAATCAAACCAGTGTCAGCAAGCCAAACACCCTACCCGCTGTGCTATTGTTCCAGCCCCCTTTCATTCTTAACTATCTTGCTGGGGACAGGGATGTGGCTCAAGAGTTAAGTACATGCTCTTCTTTCATTAGACCCAGGACCACAAAACCCAGGCTCAACATGTTGGCAGAATGCAGGGATTTTTGAAGACCTCAGACCTTTGTATAGTCAATTATTCATAAAAAAAAATTTAAAAAAATATATGTAGGCTATTAGTACTTCCATCATTGCATCACTGTCATCCTGTTGATCACTGATTTACTTGAGTGGGCGCCAGTAACGCCTCATTCTTCCCAGCCCTGAGATTTTAGCAGCTGTTGTATTGGAGGTTCTTTCAGGGTCAGGGGAATGAGGCCCTGTTGTTACTGTTTTTTGCATATTGAATGTGCCATGGGTAGCTTGCCAGGTTCTGCTATACAGTACTTCCATCACAATCAATCACAATCACAAATCATCCTGTTATTCGTCGACTGCCTCGAGCAGGCCATAGTAACGTCTCCTTCATCCTAGCCCTGAGATTATATTCAAGGCTCTTTAGGAGAATGAGACCCATCATTGTTACTGGTATTTGGCATATTGGGTACGCCACAGGGAGTTTGCCAGACTCTGCCATGTGGGCAGGCTACATTCGGTAACCTGCCAGTTTGTCCAAAGTAGGAATGAGATTATAAGATGTCATAATAAGATGTCGCGCGGCCGTGAATGCCGCCGCGCGGTTCCGGGAGCTGGTTTTTATAGTCTCTGAGTCTTGGCCGTTGATGGGATTACACGGCGCCAGGGGGCCAGTTGGTGGGAGACCCCCGCCTTCTGGAATTTGGAGGATCTGGGTGGAGGATGCTCGGCCCGAATCCGAGTAGGCTTGGAGATCTCGGCCCAGGAACCCGCGTGACTTTGTCCCTCTGCCAGTACTTCCATATAACATAAAAATCTTTAAGAAAATTTACTTCCTCCTACCCTTCCATTTACTGCTGTTGTAATGTCCAGGGGTCACACATGTGGTTGTAATGCACTGGGGACTGCATTGGCAGTGCTCCTGGGTTATACTCACAATGGGCGTGGTCCAAGGAGATAAAATGGTCTCACATACAAGGTTGTGCTCAATCACTGAACTACATCCCTGGGGATTTCCACATATTTTAAACTATTCTCAAAGAAAACTAGATCCTCAGAGCTGCAGAATTGGGCCTTTAGTATACATTTTCTTTCAGTTGCTATATGGCCAAGGGCAGGTACACAGTGAGGTGTTTCTGAGAAAATGACTTAAATTCACAATTGAATATCTACAAAGCACTGAGAGCCTGTTCTGTCAGGGATTGAGCTATGTAATCAGTACATTATTTACACTTACCTCTCTCAAACATCCCAGGGAGTAGATAATACCCATATTGCACAGGCCATGATACTTACAAGTCTACACAGACTGTAAAAGGTAATATAATAGGATTCAAAACCAGGGTTATCTGATTTTCCGATCTGAGGTCCTACCAAACTAGGGAAACTACTGGGAAATTCCCCACTCTCTCACACTTTCAATGCTTAAGCATGCCTAACAGTCTCCCGACAGATGACACAAGAACACATGGTTGTAGATCTCCCTAGGATTATCCAGGATGCGGTCAACCAGATGTCTTTTCAATGTCCTTCAGATTCTGGTCTAATTTTGATTTTTTTTTTTTTGGTCTCCATGAGAAATTATAGATGATTTTCTACCAGGACTCACCAGTCTTGCCATTGTTCTAACTTGTATAAACCATGCAATCTTTTCTAGCTGGTCTCTGGACTTTCCTGATCCCAGGCAACAAGTTATTCGGAGGGAACATCTTGTGTCCTTGGTTTCAACTGAACCAAGTGTGGTTCTTAGTAACAAAAGTATGGGCTCCCCTGGAATAGTGGTTTTTCTACTTGTACCCTTGGCTCTATGTAGTATTGGGGAGTCAAGTTTTGGTGATTGCTTTGCAGATTTTTTTTTTTTTATCCTGGTAATGCTTTTGTGGCTAAATAAACCTAAGTTTTGCTTGGTTTGCTCTTGTCTTATGTGAAAACTCATCTTAGACTTGAAGCACCTTTGCCTTTCCAAGTGTTCTTTTGTAGCAGCTCTGCCACAAACAATTTCAGGATGCATTTGCTCAGACACAGAAACCATTCTCACTTAAATTCCCACTGATTTGGCAAAGTGGAATAGTGGTTTTTCAACTTGCACCCTACTGCTTGATTCACAAGATGGAGGGAAAGGAAATAGTTAGGTATCATTTAGGGTACTATCAAGTAAAAGTGAGGTAGGAATTTTGTGAGAACTGTCAAGATTCTATAGCAACCCTATTTCCAGACTTATATCATTAGTGGGGCTCAAGTAGAGCTATAAAACAAAACCTATAAAACTCTTTTTTAAAGAGTCTTTGAAAAAAATTTTATTTCAACTTATACATACATAAAGAAAGGGCAAATGTTTATTTGCCAACTTTTCACATCAGCTGATGCCCTTAGGATGCTGCTCTGAATTAGCAGGAGTAAGATTTAACCTTGGGTAGGAAAAGGAAAAAGTCTCGCGGCTCCAATTCTACTTTTAAGGAAATATGAAGGAGCCACTGCACCTTGTGCTCCCTCAAGAGAGATTTTTCTCTCCACCCCCACCCCTCCCCAGCCCCCACCTCTCTGTGAGACTCTGGATCCGGGAACACTGCCGACTGCGCCCACTGCTCCTCTGCCCAGCACCCCCAGACAAATATCCGCACTCACAGGCAAATATCTGCACATTATTATGTTTTACATTTCAACATTCCCTGAGCAAGCTCCCTTACTGCTGAGCTACCTGTCTGCCTGGCTCTTCAAGGTGTCTCAGAAGATAGCACTGACTGCTTTAGTTGGTGCTAATGACAAAGAGAATTTTTTCTGATTTATTTTTATGGCATTATGTTGGATTGGTTTCTGGGCCACACCTGGAGGTGCTCTGGGCTTATTCTCAGCTCTGTATTCAAGGATCACTCCCGGTGGTGCTTGGGGGACCATATGTGGTACTGAACTACAATAGCCACGTGCGAGCTCCAGCCCAAGTTCTGTTTTTTTTTAAATGCACCATGTTCTGGGAACATCTGCTGCAAATACAAAGACAAATATACTTTGTTTTTGGTGGATGCTTAATGAACACTGACAGACTATTTATAATTAAGTGCATCAAAAGAATTTAAAAAAATTATTCCAAGGAATGACTGCTAGCAATAAACCTACTAACAAGAGTTTTATAAGATCATTTGCCTTGTCTAGAAAAATAAAATCTCTGAAAGTTATTCCAATACACCTGATTTGTTTATCACTACTGTTTTAGAGAAAGAGATGGCATTTGATTATTTTCAAAGATGGAAGAACAATCATCCATTAGTTCTGGAAGTTGGATGACAGGGAACTGCACTTGTTTTTCAAACCACTTGGCAACTGTAAGAAGCTTCTGGTCACAAAATGCCTGTCCAATAAACTGCAGTCCAAGCGGCAGCCCTTTGCTCGAGAGGGACACAGGGACGTTGACAGCCGGCAAGCCTGAGGGGAAGAGAGGTGCCCATTAGCTTATTGTTTCTTCATTCCAAGCAGGAGAAATTCTCATACTCTCCAGTGCTAGCAAGTACAAGACAGGATAAGTTTCAAAGAGTGAAAAAAAAAAGTGTATACATGCTATAGTACCTTTCTATGTTCACTTCACAACTTCTTTGAGAGGATGGTGCAGAGAGCTAGTACCTAGTACAAGGATTAAGTTGTAGGTGGCCAAGCCCAGTTCAATCCCAGGAACTCCGTAGTGCCTAAGTGTCACGAGATGTGGCCCCCAAATCCAAAAACAGAATAAAACCAACATTTCCTTGGAAATCACTTTCTTACTTCAGAGTCATAATTCCTTTTTTCATAGCTGCAGAATACTTTCCAGAAAGGAGCTTTTGCATAATTTATTCAAATACTTGTCAATGGTTCAGCATTTTGGTTTTTAGTATTTTACTATTTCATGCTTATGCTCTAGTAAATACCTTATGTGTATGCATTTTTTAATATTCTTGAGAGTTTGTCAGGTAAAAAAGGATCATTGCATATATAACCAGATACTGCAAACTTTTTTTCTTGTTTTTTGGGGGGATCACTCCTGGCCATGCTCAGGGGACCATGAAGTGCCAAGTATTGGAGGACTCCTCCATACAAAGAATGCACTTCAACTTGTGGAGACATTTCTCTGGCCCAGGAGTTTTATTAGTTTATACTTTTATCTACAAAATACTTTCCCCCATATATTTTCTTTGACAGTGTTCTTGAATTTTTGCCATCTCACTAGCTGAGGAATAGTTACTGAGGCTAGGCCTAAAGGGTACATGTAACCCAAAAGATTTTTGCAACCCAAACTGAGCATCAAAAATAATAACAGAAATTGCCATAATATATTGAAGTCAAAAAGAAAGAAAGAAAGAAAGAAAGAAAGAAAAAAAGAAAGAAAGAAAGAAAGAAAGAAAGAAAGAAAGAAAGAAAGAAAGACTTTCTCTGCTGATGTGGAATGGATGTTGAAAGCATGATTCTGGACAGTCGGCATTTATAATTCTCTAGGTAAACAGTTCAGAAAAGTATCGCTGACAGACAAGAAAACTGTACTCAGCGGAGCCTGAGGAAGCAGCACTCAGTCAGGCCCTGTGGAGAATAATCTCGAGGGTGCTCACCTGCCAGATTGACGGCCTGGGTGAAGACATCTTCCTGGGCACTTCGCGTTCTATTGTCCTCTTTGATGAACTCCAGGTACGGTACTGCCTCCCTCAAGGTGGTGGGGGTGAGCAGGACGTCCACCCCAGACTTAAAAACACTCCCAAAGTCGTTAGCAATGAGACGCCTTACTTTCTGGGCTTTGACAAAGTAATCCTCATAGTTTCTGTGAGAAAAAGCAGGTCATGTTTTAAGCACTTATTGCTATTTCTTTGAGTCTATTCCCATCCACAAAACTTGTTAGAGAAGCACTGTGGTCTTGGCCTTCCTGAGCAGACTCCACTTATATTCCTAACAACACATAAAACAGAATTTTGTGCAATGGTACTGTTACTCTGAAACTTTGCATATATGGCATTCAACCAGAATTTGCTACATGTCTGTACATAGCGTTGCAAATATGAACACTTTAAGGTGCATAAAAAAATCAGCGCACTAATTCTCAGGTGAGGAAATTCAAGAGGATAGCAATGAAATGTGCTCCCAAAGGTTACAAAGATTGACAGCGGCAGACAAAGGACTAGAACTGAAGTCTCTGGAGGCTCATTCCATTCTTCCCATTATAATGTCTCACTTTATCTCTGGCATACATTATCTATAATGATGATAACTAATTACTATATGATTCTATTTTTTGTAAAAAAAAATAATACACGTTACATGTTACCAAAATTAGATACTAGGAAGTACTCCTAGGAAACAGAAACTGGGGCAAGTGCAATGTTTGCAATTTTGTGTTTTATGGATAGTACAGAGAGGAATGGAAATGGGAAATCCAAGAAAGCATGCTCACTTTACAGAAAAGATTAAGGAATCAGCTAGACATTGAAGTGACCATGAGTCCACGGTCCACGGTCCTCCCGTTGTTCATCGATTTGCTCGAGCGGGCCCAGTAACGTCTCCATCGTGAGACTTCTTGTTACTGTGTCTGGCATATCGAATACGTCACGGGGAGCTTGCCAGGCTCTGCCGTGCGGGCGAGATACTCTCGGTAGCTTGCCGGGCTCTCCGAGAGGGGCGGAGGAATCGAACTCGGGTTGGCCATGTTGGCTGCGTGCAAGGCAAACACCCTACTGCTGTGCTATCGCTCCAGCCCGACAATGAGTAAGTGATGTAAAAAAAGGAAAATTCTTTAAACTGTTAATGAAGGCTGGTAAAAAAACAATTCTCAATTTTAATTTTCTCACCTGTAAAAATCAATAAACTTTAGTCATAGTGAGGACAAATAAAATAAGCTTAAAAATGAAACTATTTTTATAATCTAAGACACAACAACAGAAATATCAGAAGTCTTTACCATCATTTAACCTCAGGGACTTCAGGAAAAAGAATGTAGACACAACCAGTAGTGTACAAAACAATAACAGCAGGTAGTTTAAATGATATATTAACAGCATCCCCCAAGTGGAATTTTAAAAAGAACAAATAATAAAAACATAATTTTTTAAAATTAACATGTATTTCTACTTCGAATGTGGTCTAGTAGTAGAACCTCTACTTTTATCAATGCTATAATAATAGAAATGGGATTAACTCTACTGTCTTAAACAGTTAGAAAACTAGAAAAAAATTAAATAATAATTTTCCAGCAGTAGAAATAGGCATTCAAGGGATGGAGTTCTCTGGGAGAAGTGAAACAAACTAGGAAGGCTTGTGATTTCTCAGGAGTAAGTCAGGGAGAGAAATCAGACTTGCAGAGACTTACAAATGTATGAGAAGAAACTCACAAGAGTTAGAGAAGAATATATACAGAACAGTTTGTGTTCCCAACAGCTAAAGTGGAAAGGTCTTTGAAAACACAGGCCATCTGGTAGACTCTTTGAGGGGCATATCGGAAATAAGAGTTAATTAGCCCTACACTAAAAATTGTTTTGCGTTCATCCCAACAAAGCTTTTTAAGGAAGTCGTCAAAGGATGTACTGTATTCCAAGTAAACTTAACTGCATCCAAGAACAAACTCCAACACAACTTAAAGGAAACAACAAAAAGTTGACCAATGACATTGTATAAACAAACCATAAGTCCAGGCACGCAAAAAATAACTTCCAACTAAGGGCAGGGAAAGCCATCCATATAAAATGATACAGAAGTGTTGAATTAGCAGATGCATCAATAAAACAGGTATTATAAGTATGTTACATAGGCTATATGAAGATGAAGAAATTAAAGAAAATAAAACCTACTTGGAACTTTTAGAGATAAAAAATTGCAAAATAAAAATTAGACTGGATGGGGTTGACAGAAGATTGGCACAACAGATGAAAAAATCAGTGATTGTGTCCTTAGTAAATGAAAATGTCCAAAAGGAAGCCCAGAAAAACTGAAAACAAAACACAACAAAAGATGAAGCTTTCAGCAAGATGCAGAATATTATAAGCAGAGTCACAGATGCGAACAAAATTCCAGAAGGAGAGGGGGAGGTCAGAAGAAATACTTGAAGAAAGATTTCTCAAAATTTCCTCACATTTGAGTAAACTACAAATCCACAGAGCCAAGATACTCAACATACCTTTTGAGAGAAGTATGCACAAAACCATACCAATGGTGCATCGCAATGAAATTTCTGAAAGCCCACGATAAAGAAAAATCTTAGTATCGGAAGGAAAAAAGACAAGAAGAAAAGAGACCTCTCCAAAGTAATATAAATCCTGTCATGTCGGAAAAACACCTTTCTAAGTGACCAACAGAAAAAAAATCACTAACTGAGATTTCATGCCGGGAAGAAAAATACCATTCAAAATCAAAGGCAAAATCAAGACATGACAACATAAAGGATTGCTGAAGAAATTTATTAAAAGCAGGACACCACTACCAGAAATATTAAAGGAAGCTCTACTGGAAGATAAGACACCAGAAAAGACAACTGGATCTTCACAAAAGAATGAAAATCACCAGAAACAGTAAAGATTAGGTTCATACAGATGACTTTCCCCCTTCTCATTTTAAATTTCTTTCTGAGGAAAAAAAAAACCCCAAAACAGAGGATCCTCCCAGGATGGGAGAAGCATGCTGAAAGTAGACTATAGACCAAACATGATTGCCTCTCAATGCCTCTTTTGCAAACCACAACACCCAAGAGGAGAGAGAGAACAAAAGGGAAAGCCCTGCCACAGAGGCAGAGTGGGATAGGGGGGATGGGGGGTGGGAGGGATACTGGGATCCGTGGTGGTGGGAAATGGGCACTGGTGGAGGGCTGGGTATTTGATCACTGTATAATTGAAACCCAAGCACAAAAATTTTTAAGTCTACAACTGTAGCTCATGGTGTCTCACTAATAAAAACTAAAAAGCAAAAACAAAAACAAATCCCAAAACATTATTTAAGAAAAAGAAGGCAGGAAAGAATTGTTAAAAGAAAGATTAGTGGTGGAGGGAAGCTGACACTGGTGGTAGGATTGGTACTGGAACACTGTATACCTGAAAATCAACTATGAATCACTATATAAATCACAGTGCATTAATGTTAAAAATAATAATAATAATGCAAAAAATGCAAAAAATTCTTTAAAAAGAGAAAGAAAAACGGGGGGCTGGACGGTAGCTCCAAGGGCTGGAGAACATGGCTGGGATGTGAAAGGTCTCGGTTCTAGAAGCACCAGGCTAAGTACTACAGGGAGTGGCTCTGGGCCACGAGCACTGCAGCAGAACTGGCCCCCTAGCACCCCCTCGACTCCTGCTGCCTTTAAATAAGAGCAGGGATGCGTGGAAGGCAATACTAAAGAAGGTAGATTTAAATGTAGTTCAAGTGTGTAAAAGCCAATTAAGAACAAAAGTATGGCTGGAGAGATGGTACAATGGGTAGGGTGCTTGCCTTGCTTGCAGTCAACCCAGGTTCAATCCACAGTATCCCATTAGGTCCCTTGAGCACTGCCAAGAGTGATCCCTGAGTGCAGAGATAGAAGTAAGCCCTTACACTAACAGGTATGACCCCCCAGCCTCCCCTCAAAAAACAAACACAAACTCAAGAGTAAATTGGATTCTTAATAAACATTGTCTTTTAAAATTTATTTATGGTCTTTAAATTCAATTGACTGTTCTCACCCATTTTTGAGACAGGGTTGATTTGCAATAATGCTAATGATAGTTTCATGAATACAATGTTCCAACACCAGACCCCCCACCACAGGGCCTTTCCCTCCACCACTGTCCCAAGATCCCTGTTTATCTGCCAATAAATTTATGGCTTTGGAACAAAAGAGGATAGAATGACAAAATATCAGACTGTGAAAATTACATGAAGAAAAAATTTTTGAACGACAGTTTATATTTTAAATTTATTCTTATTTGTTTGTTTTTTTAAGGACACACCAGTGATGTTTAGGGATTACTCTTGACTCTGGAATCAGGAATTACTCCTGGTGGTGATTGGGGGATCATATGGGATGCTGGGGATCGTACCTGGCATTTGCAAGGCAAACACCCTACTCTCTGTACTATCACTCTGACCTCCAATAGTTTATTTTTTGATCATTCCTGACATATAAACTGACTTTTAAAGATAAAAATAAATAAGTATCCCTCAATTCTATTTTCCAGTCACTACATCCATTCTCCTGAAAAAAAAAAAAAAGACCAAATATTCAAGCAAACAATAAAGCTGGTCCAGGTTGACCAAGCCAGAGAAAAGACCTGCAGTGGTGAGTCAAACTTCCCTCTCTTAATACTCCTAAATGGGGGGCATGGAAAACCCACAGACCCCTCATTTGCAATATCCTTTACATTGCTACAATGACCTATACGATTGATGATGGGTACCTGACATAGACAGTATGATGAATCAGTGACAATCGACAAATGTGACTATTGGCCAACATGCCCAATGACTGAATGCAAGGATCGGGGGATGTAGAGCTACTGAGTGGTGTGCTACCAGGGACCACCAGGCAGGAGTGCCAGGGGTGTCTCTCAAGGACTATACACAGTGAAGCCTGTGCTGGAGACTGAACCAGGGCTGGGCGTAGGCAAATAATGAGCCTTAACTCCTGTAGTAAAGTTTCCAGACTGGCAGTTCTCTTTTGAAATTTGGCCCGAGGAGGAACCCCCAGCAGTGCCTGGAGAGCCCAGGGCTACTACCACGAGTCTTGGCGGTGCAGTGAGGAATAGGCCAGTGGGTTTGATACTAGAGTATGTCTGTCTGATGGGGGTAGGAGTGTTCTAGGGGCTATTTGGTGCTGGGGCTCAAACAGGCCTGGCACGTGCTCTGACTACTTGAGCTATCTTCCCAGACCTCTATTTTTAATTTTTTTGAGGGTTCACCATATATTTTCCATTGTGGCTGATCCTAACTACTAACTCTGAGGGTGTTGCAAAGATGAATGTATGCCAGCTGCGTGTGAGGGCCAAGAGAAAACCTCTAGAAAGCTGTTTAGCTGTTCACTAGAACAACTACTCTTGGTTTTTAATATTTCTCTCATCCTTTGAGACAGACTTGGTAGTAAAAAAGAAGAAACTTATTCACGAGATTACAGGTATGCCTATATAAAAGATAACCTAACAGGTAGAACTAGAATTCTATCCTGGACCAAACAGATACACAATGCAAGGGAAAACAAAGTTGATTTTAACAGATGCCCTTTTAATTGACGCCAATGTAACTTCCTACATTAGGATCTAAGAGCACTAAAATTATGAGACAATATAAGTGGAAATATTTTAAAAAGTTAAAATTACTGAGTTTCTGACTTAGTTTGTACTAATCACTGAACTAGAGCATTTAATAGCATTTTTGTTTTTGAAGAACTAGGAATCAAACATACAAAAAAACAGGTCTTTCAGCAGGCCTTTCTTAATTGTTACTTTTGTATCTGTTTGTTTATTTTGGGGTCATCATCAGTGGTGCTCACTGTTTACTTCTGGTTCTGCGCTCAGGGATCACTCTTGGTGGGGCTCGGGATTGAACCCAGTTCAGCTGCGTGCAAGCGCCCTACCCACTAACTATAGCTCTAGCCCAGACCTTTATCAATTTAAGTCATTCTTTTCTCTCAACTTATAGGACCTGGTAGACATATTGCTACTTTACTCATGAGTTTCTACAAATGGAGAAAATTCCTAAACCAGTGATCTTACTCTTTTAATAGGAAAAAGTTTCCTGAGAGAATTCTTCCTTTCACCACATCATTGAACCCTTCTCGTCTGGTGGCAGCGTACATGGCTTCAGTAGACACATCATTGTTGCATCTGTGCCCTGAGAGCAAAAGAGATAAATGTTACCTGGAAAGAAAGTCCGGTTTTTGCTGAGAAGTAAGCCCTTAATCAGACTTGTGAACATTACTCTGGTCTGCAAAGAATGTCTTTCATGGTTCTTCATCCTTATCTGCTGTACAATTACTGATCAGTTGGGAGTTATCAAGAGAAGGAAATAATTAAAAAAGAAATTTCAATTAGTTAGGACTGGGGTTAATAGTACAGTGGGCAGGGCACTTCCCTTTCATGTGGCTGACCCGGGTTTGATCCCCGGCACTACCTATGCTCCCCCTAAACCCCGCCAGGAGTAAGCCCTGAGCATGACCACCTGACATGGCCAAAAAACAACAACAAAAACAACAAAAAGAAATTTCAATTAACTCCTGATCCTTTCATTTATTCAAATGTTTCATGAACTCTTCCCCTCTGCCAGATGCTACATTAGACAGAGAATATATAGATAGCCACAGTTCAGAGATGATTACATAGGGGTATATATATATATATATATATATATATATATAAATATTTTTTTTTTTTTTTGCTTTTTGGGTCACACCCAGCGACACTCAGGGGTTACTCCTGGCTCATGCACTCAGGAATTGCTCCTGGCGGTGCTCAGGGGACCATATGGGATGCTGGGAATCAAACCTGTGTCGGCCATGTTGGCTGCGTGCAAGGCAAACGCCTTACTCGCTGTGCTATTGCTCCAGCCCCCAACATAGGTATATTTTTGACATAAAGTATAAGTACAATTTACTTACAAAATGACTGACTTATTTCACAGAATTCTTAACATTATTTCAAGTGGTTTTTTTCCCCCAACCACAAAACAGTGATTCTTTCAAATATTTTAAGTCTATTAGTTTAGAATCTAAAGGGCAGCCATCTTACCATATTCAAGTCCATCAAACCTTGCCATATTCGATGCCACTTCTGAGGTGCACAATACATGGTAGCAGACAACTGAGTAACTGGTATGAGGAAGAGACACTTCCTTCACTTGAGCACCCGCAGACTCAAAAAGGTCAGCAGCTTTGGACCAAAGAGATTGTACTTCACTTGATAATTCTGGTACAAGATACTCCTTATTGGAAAAAAGTTACAACACGGAAATTGGAACATCTGAAGATGGACCTAAAACAGCCTGTACTCTAGAACATTTGGCAATATATTTGAAACTCTGATAAAAGTAAGAATAATTCAACTCAAGTATTTTAAGAGTGTTTATGGCATGACAAGCATAGTACTAGATCTTGGGAGGTGGATGCAAAACTTAAAGATTGAAGACCTGGTTGGAGAACTTATACCTGGGGTTGTTATCTTTAAAGGCAGAGTCAGTAATGCTGCTAAACATCTTACAATGCATAGGAAGCCACTCACAACAAAAAAGTTATGCTAAGCTTAAATATATAATTTTTTGCTAAGCTTAAATATTAAAATTTAAGCCAGTAATTTAAGATACTTACCTCTTAAGTATAATTTACTCAACTGTTATAGTAAAAGTAGTAGGTTTTGCTACTACTTTTTGCAATAATGACAGGAAAGGTAGAAATATCTGAAGTTCCAAGGGCTATGAGGCATGGCTCTAGGCTAAAGCCTTTACACATCATATTAGCAAAGCATATGAACTATTAGCCAAGTGCTTTCCAGCTACATTTAAAAATAAAGTTTTATTTGAGCACTCTTTCACAGGACAGTGGAAAAGTTAAGTATCTGTTGATTCAGACTTTATTGAAGTCTAAGATACTTACCCTCTAGCCCTTTACAGGAAAAACTTCCATGCTCACTACTTAACAGGATTATCTAACTTGGTCCTCAAGGCTAACTGCGGCCACTACTGCTATTATTCCCATTCAAGAGGTGGAGAGAATAAGTTTGGAGGGGTTGAAGTCATGTGCTCAGGTCACTTATGAAATAAAAATGGCAGAGTGGCAGCTGAAACCCAAGTCTGTTCCCCCTGTATGTGCTCTATATCTGATTTCTGATTACAGTATTTTTGTAAAGGACAAAAAGGGAAGAGTTACCTTGGGAATTCCTATACAGAGCTTGCTCACATCTGCCAAAGTGGGAAGCATAAAGGGTTTAACGGGATCCTGTACTGTGGTAGAATCCTTGGGGTCATGCCCAGCCAGAACACCTGTAATGAGAAATCCTTATGAGTAACATCACTTTGCCTTACAGAGACAGGATAATGTTTTGGAACTATATGAGATCAAATAAATACCCAACACAACTGCTGCATCATCCACACATCTGGTTAGGATTCCTGGCACATCCATTGAGTTCACCAGGGGAATGAGACCATGACGAGAAACCAAGCCATAGGTTGGCTTTAAGCCAACAAGCCCACATTGGGCAGCAGGATTTCTGGTTGATCCTCCTGTATCCGATCCTAAAGCCCTGGAATTCAAACGGAATTTCCTTTAGAAGAATGACATATCTCTAAGTATACATGAAATCTACCCTTCAAAATGTGCAATTTTAAATTACATTTATATCATTATACCAAAGTAATACACACTTGTCTCAGAGAATTCCTAAAGTGTAAAACTGTGTATAGGGGTAACAAAATATTCTATCACACGAGACAAAACATTTTTAGTATTTGGTCATATTAACTATGAGAGTTTTTAAAAAAATATCTTTTCATAGTGAGTTCAGCCTGTAAACCTAAATTCCTATATATTTTTTGTTTTTATTATTAAAATTACTAAAATTTTATTTTATTTATTCTGGCTTTTTTTTTTGGGGGGGGGTCACACCCAGCAGTACTCAGGGCTTACTCCTGGCTCTGTGCTCAGGGATCACTCCTGGTGGGGCCTGTGAGACCATATGGGATGCTAGGGATGAACAGGGCTGGCCATAAGCTAAAATAAATGCCCTGCCTGCTGTACTATCTCTCCAACCTCAAATTACTAAAATTTTAAAGTATGCACAAAACTATCACAGGAATTTGTGATTCTTGGTATCTTAAAGCCATTTTACCGTAGTTTACATCCCAAACTATACTTATTACACATACAAATGTCATAGCATCCTTTGGTATTAGCTGCACTCAAGACAAATTAATGGGAATTTCAAAGAAAGCTTTTTACAGACTAAACAGCCATCTAGGAATTCAGAGAAAGACAGTGACCCAATGGAGAATTATAGATAGATGTGTACTTTAATTACGCTTTTCTAAATTATGTCATGATAAATAACTTTGTAATACACACCTTTAAACATAAATCACTGCAGGCAAATATGATTTGATTTTAGGCTAAGTTCAAAGGAGTTTATGGGAAAAATGTTTTCTGAGGGGAGGTGGGCAGAGGGGGGTTTCTGAGTGATTCACAGCAATGCTGAAGGATCACTCCTGGTAGTGCCTGGGAGACCATGTGGTGCTAGGTATGAACCAGGGTGAGTCATATGTAAAGGCAAGTGCCTTAACTAACCCCTATACTATTTCTCCAGCTCCAGAAATTCTTAATATGTAATTGTCAAACTACTTGCCTGAAAGGTTATGTCATTTTGATTTCCTATTGCTACCGAATGTAACCTGCCCACACAGCAGAGTCTGGCAAACTCCCTGTGGCGTATCCAATATGCCAAATACCAGTAACAATGATGGATTTCATTCTCCTAACCTTGAAAGAGTCTTGAATATGGCACTTTTTAAAATCTCAGGGCTAGGACGAAGGAAACGTTACTGGGGTCTGCTTGAGGCAATTGACAAACAACAGGATGATTGTGATTGTGATTGCAATGATTCAAATTGAATTTTCACGTTTCATTGTATCATTAAGTATTGGCAGTTTTAAATTTGCTTAGTTTGAAAGCCAGAAATCCTTAACATGCCTTCAATTAATTAATTTTTGGAGGGTATATTAAGGATCGAACCCAGGTCTCATGCAAGCACTTTACCACTGACATATCTTCTGCCATAATCTGTCACTGTCACTGTCCTCCCGTTGTTCATCGATTTTCTTGAGCAGACCCAGTAACATCTCCATTGTGAGACTTTGTTGTTACTGTGTTTGGCATATCGAATACATCGCAGGTAGCTTGCCAGGCTTTGCCGTGAGGACAAGATACTCTTGGTAGCTTGCCGGGTTTTCCGAGAGGGACGGAGGAATCGAACTCGGGTTGGCTATGTTGGCTGCGTGCAAGGCAAATGCCCTACCCACTGTGCTATCGCAAATGCCCTTCTGCCATAATATCATATTTAAAAATAATTCATGACATTTATTTGTAGAATCACTTCATTTCTTTGTGTGAGTAGTGTCTCCTCTTTTCTTTACTTTTGGGGAGGCACATCCAAAGGCACTTGGAAAAGCTTCCTACATGGTGCTCAGGAGTCACTTCCAGCGGTGCTTAGGCAATATGGAATTTCGTGGATTGACCGTGGGCCTTTTACAGGCAAAGTCAGTGCTCCAGCCATCTGAGCAATCTCCCTGGCCTAGAGCATCTTTTTTTTTCTGATTTAAAATACAGTGAAAAATAACTACCCCAAGGATACTTTGTTAAATCAGTCAGTCACAAGAGTATAAATACAGCCTACTGCCTGATTTCACTCAGATAAAAGCAGTCAAATTCACAGCAACTTAAAGTAGAAGAACAGTTGCCAGGGGCTGAGAAGACAGGCAATTAGGCAGCTGCTGCTTTAACAGCAGAGTTTCAGTTTTGCAGAAGAAACAAGTTCTGGAGGTTGGCTGTACTACACTGTGTATTTATGTGTTTATATTAAACACCTTCTGGATTGTATAGTTAAAACCGTTAGGATTATATTATGTTATATATATTTTGTGACAAAATTTAAAAAAAATATATCATTAGCTCAGAAAAAAATCTTTCTGATTAGAAAAGCATATATGCCTACTGCAAAACTTAGAACACACAACTACATGATGCACATGGTGAATCACTGCCCCTATAATAATCCCGATGTCAATTATGATCTGTCCAGATGCTTCCATATAAGTACTAGCAAGCATATATAATTACATAAATAACTACTATATTAAACAGAAAAAAAGTCATTGTACACATACTGTTCTGCAATCTGCATTCCACTTAGCAATGTATCTTTGGGACTTGGGGTGGTCTGTAGCCACATCCAGTCATATCCATAGCTTACTTATGGCTCTGAGCTCAGAGACCACTCTTGGCAGTGCTCAAGGGACCATAAGCAGTGCCAGAGATTAAACGTGGGTTGGCAGCATGTAAAGCAAGGCCTTAATCCCTATACATTCTCTCTGACTTTTAGCAATATATCTTAGATATTTTTCCACATCACTGCATGGTTCACTATCATTCTGCTTTTTATTGGCTGCATAGTATTCCAAGCATTCAGTTGTTTTTTAAAAACTATATACAACAAACATATCAAAATAGGGGAAAACAAAGCAAAACACTCAATGGTTTGGGACCTGTTCTTTGGGTCCTTTTTTCTTGCCCAAACCCAGGGAAGAATTAGCAGAGCAAGGCCCTAAGTCCCCTGGTCCTCAGGTCCTCAGCTCTACAGAACATGCAAATTAAAGATTGTCTTTTTTTTTGGCGGGGGGGGGGGGGTGACTTTGGGGCCACAATTAGTGGTACTCAGGGGCTTCTCCTGGCTCTGTGTTTGGGGATCATTCCTGTTGATGTACAGGGAACTGTATGCGGTGTCAGTGATCAGACTCCAGTCAGCTGCAGATAAGGTATATGCCTTACCCCTGGCCCTGGATTGCCGTTTTTACCAGTACAATTTCACTACAAAGTTAGAGTCTTGCTTTCACTATTTTAAAAAAAGATACATTTTCTTATTAGGATTCATTGACTGATGTGTAGAAAGCAAAACCTACATTTCCATAGGAATTATGTGTCAAAATGCCATCTTCTCTAAGCACATTCACAAAGATGAACTCTAAGTGGGGTGATGAGAACAGAAAAAAAAGCATCTAATCTCACAGTCCTAAAGTGTCAGAACTCTCATTAATATTAATGCAGTGCTATAAAATTCCACAGAGATAAAATGAAATGGTTTCACTTGTTAACAAGATTTCAGGGAAACTTAAAAAAAATCTTTAGACTCTAAATCTCCATACCTCTGAAAAATATAAATAATTTACTGTTAGCAGAGCCTATGAAAAAGCTTAATTTCAGTGGATGATAAAGAAGAGATAAAATAGATACAGTACTATTAAGCATACTCAATTTGATTAAACTTGAGACAATAAAATAAATATAGTAATAGTGATATGTACTTATTTTTCTCTTTCTTTGTTCAGGGATTGGGGGTTATTGGGCCACATGTGGTACCCAATTCCCAACTCTGCCTGGGGGTGACTCCTGGAGGGGCTCAGAGGACCATATAGTGTGCCAGGGATCAAACTTGGGACAACTGCAGAGTCTAAGTTCAGGCCATTAAGCTATCTCTCTTGGCCCCTCTTACTCTTTAGGCAGTTAAGAAATGTTTTACAAATGAGACTTAAGACATATCACAGGAGAGATAGTCTATTTCCAAATACAAAGTGTGGCAGTCACACAAATCAGCTAGCTTCTTCCAAACTAGAAGACCCTTTACTTGAGGATCAAACCATTCTAGTTGCTGCTTTAAAGAACGCTAACTTTAGACATCCTAGTGATACATAAATATTAGGGCCATTTCCCTTTATCTTGTTACACTGCCAACTGAAGCAAAACAAAACACACTGCAGCTTCCCCCCAAAGCCAAGTTCTCACTTTGTCCTTTCTTGACAGCTCAGGGGCTGGAGCATTTTTTGTTTTCCAGCCCTCCTCCCCCCAACAAAGTAACATTTCAATGGAAGGTGAGTTGTAACGAGTAATTTTGTTCAATGGCACTCAACTAAAGTCATGGCATGTTAGTTCCCGAAATCTGTATAATCAGTACGCAGACACCCCTAAATTATTTGAATAATGAGCTTGGGATGTTGCTCAGTGGTCGCACAAGCTTTGCATGTATGAGGCCTTGGATTCCATCCAGGCATCTCCTTGCCTGTCCCTCCCAAAATTCCCTTGCCTGAAATTCAGTGAAGTATATTTATGCAACCTGGTTTTTCTGCAAGATCCATAACATCATGCTGTTAAGAAACCATGTATTATACAGGAAGACTTCACATCTTTTCTGAAACTAAACCTAAATGTATATGTAATAAATACAGTTGAGAATACTCGGAGAGCCCGGCAAGCTACCGAGAGTATTCGATATGCCAAACACAGTAACAACAACGTCTCCAATGGAGACGTTACTGGGCCTGCTCGAGCAAATCGACGATCAACGGGAGGGCCTTTTTATAACTTATCAAAATAATTGGGTATCATAGATATATGCATATCAATCTGTAATTGCGATATACCATTGAACCTTAAAAGTTGGCCTAAAAGAAGTAAGAGTATCCAGGTAATAACCATTCCAATAATGAAATCTATGGTCAGAGTTTTACATATGTTTGATGTACCTGATTCAGTTTTAAAGTAAAGACTTTCCCCCAAAGCATCTTACGCAAAGCACGTGAAGGCTGAGACAGCGGCTGCGCTCCCTCCCGAGCTTCCTCCAGCTATGAGCCAATCTGCATCCTCATCCTCAGCCTGGCGCTTCTGCTTCCTCTTTTCTCTATATTGTTTTGAATAGCTCCAGGGGTTTTTGACTGGTCCAAACACACTGTCTGTGCTTCCAGACCTGTCAGGAAGAAATGATGCAAGAGGCTTCAGCAAAACTTTTGTTGTACGTGCAACTTGTATGTGAACCCCGGTATGAATTGTTTTTGACACCATATAACTTGAACTGGAAAGGGAAGAAGCCCACTTAAATGTATTTTTCCTCAAATACAGAGATGCCTGAGGAGGTAGAAGATGCTAAGTGTATTTGGGGTAGAAAGTAGACAAAACTGGTCTATTAAGTGAAAAACATTTTGGAGCATGGAGCAATAGTATAGCAGGGAGGATGCTTGCCTTGCACGCAGCAGACCCGGGTTAGATCCATGGCATGACAAATGGTCCCCCAAGCACGCCAGGAGTGATCCCTGAGCACAGAGCCAGGAGTAAGTCCTAAACAGGTATGGACCAAACTCACTACCCCAATTTATTTTTTTAAAGGAAGTTTCAGGGTCAGTTTTCCTGCTTGTATTTTGTGTGTTTGGTTTCTGAGCCACACCTAGAAGTGTTCCGTGTTCAGGGGTTTCTCTGAGTGTTGCTCAGAGGATCATGTGGTGCTGGGGATCAAACTAGGATCACACACATGCAAGGCAAGCATTTTATTCACTGTTTTATTCGCTCATTTATTCACTATTCATTTTATTCTCAGGCCCAAGAAAACAAGTTCCCCCAGTGGGTAGAGGAAGCAACACCCAGCGGTGCTCAGGGTTTACTTGTAGTTCTGCACTCCGGGGTCACTCCTGTTGGGGCTTGGGGGACTATCTGATGCTGGGGATAAAATCAGAGTCCACTGCAAGCAAGGCAAGTGCCCTACCCGCTGTACTATTGCTCCAGTCCAGAAAAGAAGATTTTTAATCCTTGTTCAGCTTAAGATGATTTTCCTTTTAAGTTCTTCCAGCCGAAGACTTGTACAAATATTTAGTTAACAAGAAGTCTCTAAGAGGAATGTCTCTATTAATCAGAAAGAAAAAGCATTATCTGTGAAATGGAATAACTTATAAGTCATCATTTTAATCTTACAGAAAAATTACCAAAACAAAAAAAAAATGTGTGAGGGCCAGAGTGATAAACAGCAGGTAGGGTGTTTGCTTTGCGCATAGATGACCTGGGTTTGATTCCCAGTATTCCGTATGGTCAGGAGTAATTACTCAGGAGTAATTCCTGAGTGAAAATCCAGGAGAGACCTTGAGTAGAGCCAGGTATGGCCCCCAAAACAAAAACAAACAAACAAAAAAATAGTATGAAAAGAACTTTGTATGGATCTGTACATATATACTCCTACCCCTTATTTCTTTCTCCTAGGTCACCTAGGAGTAGCACTGTAGCACTATCCTCCCGTTTGTCTTCGATTTGCTCGAGCAGGCACCAGTAACATCTCACAACAAATTGTGAGACTTGCTGTTACTGTTTTGGGCATATCGAATACGTCACGGGGAGCTTGCCAGGCTTTGCCATGTGGACGAAATACTCTCGTTAGCTTGCTAGGCTATATAGTATCATGATCCTTACTCCTAAATACTCCAGTTAAGTATGTAGGATGTTTTCCTTAGAACTAAAGGTATTCTCTGCCTATAAGAAAGCCCATGAACAAGTTTGAAAAACAGTGTTTACATAAAATATAGCACGATAGCACTGTCCTACCAGTGATCATCGATTTGCTCAGGGGAAAAAATTTATATAAATAGGCCTTACCCTGATCACAGCGCCCAGGAGGAGAGAGAGAACAGGGGGGAATGCCCTGCCACAGTGGCAGGGGGGGATGGGGGGATGGGAGGATGGGGGGGGGAGGGATATTATCCTGGTGGTAGAAAATGGGCACTGGTGGAGGGATGGGTATTTGATCGTGGTATGACCGAGATCCAAGCACAAAAATTTGTAAATCTACAACTGTACCTCATGGTGTTTCACTAATAAAAAAGAAAAAAAAAAATAAATAGGCCTTACCTATTACATGTAAACTCCAAAATCTATTAATACAGAATTTCTTTAAAAGTATTAATAATAACATGATGGCCTCTTAGTTTCTGTATTCCAAATCATAATGCCCCAAATTGCCAAGAGAGTAAGAAGGACTGACCTGCTATAGAGGCAGGGGGTGGGATGGGATGGGGTGGCGGGAGGGACACTGAGAACAATGGTAGTAGAAAATGTGCACTGGTGGAGGGATGGGTGCTCGATCATGAGTGCTCAATCACTGAATAACTAAAACTTTTTTGGTGATCCAAAAAAAAGAAACATTTTTGGTGATCAGAAAAATAAAAGTTTTATTAGTGATATGGAAAGCATGATTATTACCATAATGAGATCCAAATATAAAATAAAATTTAATGTAATAGACCTTAGATTCCAGAGTTGAAAACTTATGTAAATGAGGAGCATTTCATTATATTGTACTAAAGGATTTTATTTTCATTGTTTACATAGGTTAAAATCATATTAGTAATCACAACTTGGCTCTTACTGGTTTATTTTCTAGTCATTATATTTGTCATTTCTTAAAGTTTTGTTGAAATCAGTAAGTCAATTTGTTATGTAGCTAAGGGGGTAGGTTGGGGATGGGAGGGAAAATGGCGACATTGGTAGAAGGAAGGTCACACTGGAGGTATTGAATACTAAATGCCTGAAACAACTTTGCAAATCAAGATGCTTTTAATAAAAATAAAATAAAATAAATAACTAAGGGTATTCTCTATATAGCCAGTTTAATTATCAATTTTGATGAGTTTAATATCAATATAATAGCTTTTTTAGCCTAACCTACTATATGCAATCCATTTTCTTAGCTGCCTAATGTTTTTCTCTTTATAGTGTTTATCCTAAAGTCTAGAGTCAGGTACTGTGTTTAGTTTTCACTGTCTGCTTAGTCTGCCTTTTAAATTATTCATCAAATGACATTGAGTTGTATCCAGTTTTCTGTAAAGCCACAAAAAATATTGGAGTGAAACCCTAGTCAATTCCTTCTCGTATACTGATTAATTCCTTCATTCAGTTCTTATGTATGCGTGTATGTATGTACATGAACGTATGTATATTTTGGGGGTCATATCTGATGGTGCTTAGGGACTGCTCCTAGCTGTGTCTGGGGTTGCTCCTGGGGAACCATTCACTGCCTGGGATGAAACCTGGGTCTCCCACCTGTGGAGTATGAATTCTAGCCCTCTGTGCCATCTCTCCCGATGCTTATATACTATTTATTTTGCCAAGGCAGAGATTGCACCCAGATCACATGTATGTAGTACTGTCTTCCCGTTGTTCATCGATTTGTTCGAGTAGGTCCAGTAACGTCTCCATCATGAGACTTGTTGCTACTGTGTTTGGCATATCGAATACATCACGGGTAGCTTGCCAGGCTTTGCCGTGCAGGTGAGATACTCTCGGTAGCTTGCTGGGCTCTCCGAGAAGGGTGGAGGAACTGAACTCAGGTCAGCTGCATGGGCCGTGTGCAAGGCAAACGCTCTACCCGCTGTGCTATCGCTCCAGCCCATCACATGTATGAAAGGTATATATTTTCCCACTGAGCCCCATTCCTGGCACCACCAGTACGTTTCTGTAAATATAAATCTTCATCACTTGGGGAAACATGGTCAGGGAATTTCTGGGTTGGTGAATGTGACATCTTGGGGAGCAGCAACCCTAGAGAAGATAGGAGGCTCCTGCCCCTTCCCATATCTGACCCCATGCTTCTCTTCCATACGTTCCTGACATATCATTTTACAATACATTGCTAAACTGGTGGATGGAAAATAGACTAAGAATAAACAGAATAGTGATTTAATGACTAGGGTACGCAGAGTAAAAATAAAGTTCAAGATTTCAAGATTTCACCCCTTTCATCTTTGAAAACCAGAAGCAAATTCTGGATAAGGCATTTTGGAGCAATTATATGTAACCTTCTCCTAAAAGTTATTTGAGGTTTCCCTCTCGAGTGGCTTGTGCTCTCTCTCCTCTTTTTTCTCCCCTCAATTTCTCTAACATTTTGTCAATAAAAACTATTTTCCTTCACACACATACACAAAAGCCAACAGCAACAACAACAACAACAACAACAACAACAACAACAAACTACAAAAGAAACCCCCCAAAAAAGAGAGGTAACATTTGCTGAGAATATCATTTTCACGGCTGGAGTGATAGCACAGCGGTAGGGCGTTTGCCTTGCATGCAGCCAACATGGCCGACCCTAGTTCGATTCCTCCGCCCCTCTCAGAGAGCCTGGCAAGCTACCGAGAGTATCTCGCCCGCACGGCAGAGCCTGGCAAGCTCCCCGTGACGTATTCGGTATGCCAGACACAGTAACAACAAAGTCTCCAATGGAGTTGTTACTGGGCCCGCTCGAGCAAATCGATGATCAACGGGAGGGCCTTTACTTACTTACTTACTTATCATTTCACTTCTAGTTGTTAATTTTATCATTTGTTTTTTGTTTCTGAGTCATACCCAGTGGTGCTCAGGGCTTACTCCTGGCTTTGTGCTCAGGGACCACATGCAGTACTGGACATCGAACCCAGGTCAGCTGCATGCAAGGTAAGCACCCTACCCACTGTGCTATCTTTCTGGCCCTTGCCACCCTGTTCCAGCACCATAGTCATCCTGTGGGTACTGAGCAGTATAGTTATACTGTCCCTTTTACCCCTAAATGAAGAACTGGGCTTCATCAAAATTAAGCTTGTTCTTCAAACCCATGTTCTCCCTTGGACATGAAGATCCTTTGCTTGTCTCTGTCTCTGTTGGCTGGCTTGTTGGCTCTTCCAAGCTTGAGACACTCTTGAACATGTGTCTCCTCTCCCCCTCCCTCACATCTAAGTAAGTTTCTTCAATTAAAACTAACTTGCTTCACTAAAAAAAAAAAAAAATTAAAAATTAAAGAAAGAAAAATCTTTATACTTGAAAGGCACATTCAAAGAATAAACTCTTAGAGGGAAAAACACATACCATCTAATGGATTCAAATCCAGAATATGTACTCAAGATATTCCACCAAAATATTTAGATGGGAGGCAAAATATACAGATGGTGTTTAACATCATTAGATATTTTAAAAAAATGCAAACTAAGACCAAAATGAGATCTAACTGTATTCCTATTCAACAACAGGACATAATTTCAGAGGGACTGAGAAACTGGCATTTGAATTTTCAAATTTCCTCACTCCTTTCAGGTATTTTGAATGAAACTGAAGAGATGAAAGAAATACAGGAAAATAAAATTTTAATTACCCCATAGCAAACTCATCTAAATTTGTTTTTCCCATTAACACAGCTCCCTGATCCAACAACTTCTGAACAACTGTAGCATTATAGGGTGGTATATAACCTGAAAAAAAAAAGGAGAGGGGTATTTCAATTATAGGAAAGAAAACAGTGAGAATGTAAATTATATGCAAGAAATAAAATTTAATACTGTACTTAAGCAATTCATGTTGAAATGTTAATTATCTCTAATTTGAGTAGTGGATTGAACTTTCTTCCACAGTTGCTTTTCTATTGCTAACTGCTATATATATCCAAAGATAATTTATATATTCACTTTTTCCTCTCAAGATGCTCTACTACAGTATTTTTAACCTATTTCCAATCAGAAACAGATCTTTATGAAAATTTTCTCTATTGTGTCTATAAATTCCTAAATAATTAATAATAGTTTTCCTATCAGAGAAATATGGGGTATTCTTTATAGAAAATTTCTTTTAATATGTAGTTCTATGAAACTTTTTTTTTTAAATAATAGAGCCTTATTTGAGGCTTTTTTTCTCCTAGGATCCAAATATCTGAGTAAACATGATTTCTTTTAACCTATTAAATTGTAAAGAACAAAACTATCATCATACTAAGGTAAGTAAGTACATCGATAGATAATACTTATAGTTTTATATAATATATATACGTGAGGAAATGAAAAATAAGCGGACAGTAGGTACTAATGAATCCTCACACCATAAAGTGTTAATGACCCTTACTTTGTACTTCAATCTTGGCTTCATGTATTATCAATGAATGGAATCCAGAGGTCACTTGCATATCTCTGTAATTAGTTATTGAGTCTTCTAAATAGGATTGCTAAGGTTTTCTAAATGGGATTCATCTATGAAGCTGGCCTATCTCTAAAGAATAATTTTGTGTTTCTGAAAGAACAAAATGTTAAAAAGTAATACTCCAACCTAAGTATTTCTTTTGCAGATATAGTTTAAGGATAACTTGGTGTTTTGGTATTTTTAATTTAAACTGAAGAATGTCTATTTTCATAAAATGATCAGTTCATATTTACCTTTTAGCATTTTTGAAGCACATGTTGTTTCAATTCCAGCTGTGCTAAAGTTGTCCTTTATTGCAATGGGAATTCCATCCAATTCCCCAAGTGAGTGACCTACATTAGAAAGCCAAGAGGGTGGAGGTAGAGGTAGAGCGAACAAGGTCAAAAGAATAGGATATATCTAGTTCAAAATATAAATACACATTAGTACTAGTTATCAAAATAACTACCAGTTATTAATAATGGGTAATTTTTCAAAAATTAAAAATGTTAGAAACTGTGATAGTTGGACATTATCAAGTGTAGCGTATCTTCTAGTCTCATTTTTATTGCAATTCTTGCACAAATTCCTCAAATAAGGCTCTGTTATGTTAAAAGTTTCACTTGCCAAATGGAAACTACAATATTTGACTGTCTTCTTTCTTTACATACACAACAAACACCATTCAAAGCAATTTACCTTCCTTATATCTCTTCTCTGATTCTTCAGCGTGCTTTAAGGCCACTTCCTCTGTTACAGTAATATAAGCATTTAAAAACTTGGTCTTCTTGATTAGAGAGAGGCATTTTTGACAGAGCTCAGTTGGGGTAATCTGGCCTTGTTTCAGAGCTGCAGACACCTATATAGTATACATATTTAAAACAAAAAAAACAAAACAAAACAAAAAACCCTTTATTCACTTTGCAGAAGTTTCTGAAGGAACAGATAAACTTGCTAAAAATGAAGGGACAGATAAACTCGTGGAAGGGAGGCTTGGATGCAAAACTGAGAAACTATCAAGTGTACAAGTGCTATTGTATATGAGGGTAATACACTGTCAGGATGATGGAAGATTGGTAGATATTCATTGTCCTGACTGGGTAACCTTCTCTTTTTGAGTCACACGTGAACAAAGAGAACAGCAGTTTAGGTAAAGTGTATAGTGACCATGCCACCTAGGAGTAGAGGTCCAACATGGGTGGAGGTAGAAGCATGCACAGAGAAGCTTAGCTTTATGACAGGTGGAACACAGGTGGAACACAGTAGAAAAGAAGAAAAGTGAATTAGACAAGGACTTCATGGCACTAAGGTATTTATATCAACTGTATAATTCAAACAGTCACTACAAATTGTGGGCAATACATATTGTGGGTTCAAAAGCAAAGAAACATCTTTTTCAAAATTTATCCCTGATGTGTTAGGCAAGCTAGTAATGTATTAACAGAATTGCACTATAAGTGGCCAAAATGTGCTTACTGATTGATAGTAAGTCAAGTCTGAGAAAATGATGACAGTTCAATACTTTCTATGTAAATTAACAATAAGTACTAAAGAGCTCAAATAAAAAATAGTAAGTCAAAAATGACTCTAGGGCTTTGGAGAAAGTTGGATAACATGGGCTGTAAAATCTTAGCACACCAAAGGTTGTGTTTGCGGGCTCACTGGATGGCACTGTCTCACCGCCTGCGTTTGGTGCTCTTGAGCCCTGTGTGTGGCCTGGATCAGGATGGCTGTTCTCTCTCTCAAGCTTGAGCCCCTCTCGCTCTGACTCTGGATCTCTGGAGCCCGAGCCCTCTCACTTCTGACTTCTCTCTCCGAGCTTACAGTCTTAGTTTATATAGCAATCACGTAAGGTGGTGACACAAAGGTGGGTTGAATATTGACAAATCAACAATAAGACTTAAGACCACTCCTCCAGGAGATTAACTCAGGGATAAAATCTCATCTAAAGAGATTACTCCAGATTACTAGGAGATCCACTCAAGGGTGTGATCCTAACAAGGGTGTGTTCTTTCCTCAGCTAGTAATTTACTTAAATAGTTGTAGTAAATCTACTTCTAATATTTCTAGCAATGTCATTCTGTATGAGCACAGTATAAGAGATATAAACTTAGTTTGGTTCTTCCTGAGAATATCTCACTATACATTCTGCAGTCCTCAGGCCAGGTTAATCTTCCTAGCCCCAGCAGGGTCCTAGTCTCGTTGTTACTTTTGGATCATGACAGCATTTGTCCATGATCATGTCCTCAATTTATAGTTGAGTATTGTAGTGCTTTGCCTGGCTCATTTCGATGCCAGGGTAGCTCACAGCTTGCCCTGGGTCCATTCAGTCTCTCGTCGGGACCCTGCTTTTGGGGTGCTAGGAACTAAGGGCAACTGGGTCAAGAGAGCAGATGCCCAGGAGTAAATATTATTTGGAGTCAATCAACTCCCAAGTTACAAAGCATAATATTAACTGTCTTCCTGTGCCCATACAGAAAGGACATTGCTTTAAGGTAAACTATTCAAAAGGCATAAGAAGAGGAGAAAGGCAATATTAACTTATAATATAAGTTCAGTGCCCTGGGATGGGTGTGACCCGATAAACGTAAGTTATCTGAAGAAGCATGCAAGGCAGTCACACCGACACTGAGTCATGTCCTAGTAGCAGAGATACTGTCTTAATACTAGCTTCTTCCCATTTTTCCCCCCTGCACTGGTTGAAGCTTAGTTTGTCTTCTAAGTTGACTGCATTTTCAAGTGAAGGATACACCAAACATCAAAATTTTATATATTTTAGTGAAAAATCTGCAAGTGACCTGCTCTCAGCTGTCAAATAAACAGGAAAGCAGTGGTACTCGTAGGGCCAGGGGTTTAAATTAGAAGTGTTGTGGGAATAGGTCCCTCAAGCCAATAGAACCGCATGAGTGTACAGGGGCAGTGGGAAAAGGGAGGACTAGCTAGGCTTGATTTAGAGGTACCTAGTTACAAGAGGTATTTCTGCTTAATAATCTAGAAGAAAGGTGTTGGAGAGAAAACAAGATTCTGCGTAGTCTGATGTTGCAAATCTGGAATGGGAAGAGCGAAAACCATGGTTGGGGGGATGTAAGAGAATGAGAACTAGCAAAATCTGAAGAGATCTCGAGACCGAAAGACTTACAGACTGGCCCATGCTATGGCAAAGTGGGAAACAAAACTATGTGGGACTTTCCCTTCCTTGAAGCCCCAGTGCCTCAAGCTGCTTTCTGATTTGTCAAATGGTATATGAAGAGTTAAGGAGTCACCGGTCACAAATGGGTAGAATACAAGATTGTGAAACAGTTGTTTTAAATCGTGCTGGGCTTTGTTACTCTTTGGAAATTTGGACTTGAGAAAACCAGCAAGGAAGCTGAAGAGAAATGAAAACAAAGGTGCTAATTAGCAAGAAAAGATAGGATGGGGAGTATGAAATGTGATGAGTGCTTCTCTCCTGGGACAAAACAGAAGTGTCTCACCTGAATACAACATGAAATGAACTGTAGGAGTTCTGTTAAAAAAAAAAACCAAAAAAAAAACCCCTGGGGCTGGAGTGATTGTACAGCAGGTAGGGCGTTTTCCTTGCACGCGGCCGACCTGGGTTCGATTCCTAGCATCCCATATGGTCCCCCGAGCACCGCCAGGAGTAATTCCTGAGTGCAGAGCCAGGAGTAACCCCTCAGCATCGCTGGGTGTGACCCAAAAACAAAACAAACAAAAAAAACCCCCAAAACCAAAAAAAAGCATTTTCTTCGCTGGCACTTTTCTCATCTAATGGAAGGCAGGTATCTCCTCAGGCTCTTCTTTCTTCTGCAGCCTTCCTTCTCAAGGGGTCATTGTTTGGGCCTCACAGCCTAAGGAGAGGGGAGACTCTGCAGGCAGGTGGTGCCATCTTTCCTCGGTGTGCTCTTTCCGCTCTTCCCTCAAAAGCCCAGCTCATCTGAGGAACAGACCTTGGAGGTTGTGTTCATCTACTGTCTCCTTGTTCATTAGAGGCAGCACCTCGCTCACTGCAATCTCCTTCACGTTTGTTGACTTCAACCTGAGTTACGTACATCGTTTCTCAACTGGGTTCTCACAGGCCTTCAGTATATACTAAGGGGATGACAGGTGAAAATCATGTAAATGGGAGCCCCAGTGTGAGACAAGGGGTGGAGGATGGGGCCGACACTGAAGAAAACAAGCTTGGAAGTGCAGGAAGGGAAAAGGTTGAGAAACACTGAATTGTATCTGACACCTGTCTCAATTCTTTTCTTTTTTGATGTGTGTGTGTGGAGAGGGGGCACACCCAGCAGTACTCAGGGGTTACCCCTGGCTCTGCACTCAGGAATCTCTTCCTCACATGGTTGGTGGCCAGGTGGGATGCTGAGGATTGAACCTAGGTCACCAGTGTACAAGGCAAATGCCCAAGCTACCTCTCTGCCCCCACCTGTCTCAATTCTTTTTTTTTTTTTAATTTTTATTAGTGAAACACCATGAAGTACAGTTGTAGACTTACAAATTTTTGTGCTGGGTTTCAGTTATACAATGATCGAATACCCATCCCTCCACCAGTGCCCATTCTCATCGCCAGTGATCCCAGTATCCCTCCCACTCCCTTTTCCCCCATCCCACCCTGCCTCTGTGGCAGGGCATTCCCTTTTGTTCTCTCTCTCCTTTTGGGTGCTGTGGCTGTCTCAATTCTTGACCTCAGTTTTCCTTCCCCTCCCACCAGGCCCCAGAGCACATTGCCAGCACCAAGGCCATTTCCTGAACAGGATCCTTGGGTATTTTCCATCTCCTGCCCTCTGAGCTCATTTACTCTCGTCTCCTACATGCAACAGGCAGCAGGAAAGGGGGGAAGCTCAGTCTTGCAACAGGGACATAGATTCTGTCAGCAACCAGCAAGGGACACAGCAATGAGTGGGAAGGTTGTGAGGGGGTGCAGATGGGGAAGACCAGGGCAGCCCTGTGGAGCAGCAGACGGGAGCAAGGCAGCAGCAGCAATGAGAGCCCAGAGGAGAGACTGCGCCAAGTGTGGCCCCAAAATATGGACTGAGCCAGGAGGGAACCTGAATTTGCTTGGCACGACAGTGACACTGAGCAGAGACCCTAGAACCACCTTCTTAAACTGTGGGTCACAGTTCCATAAGAGGTTACATACATGGACATGGGGGTCACCCCCCCCCAAAAAAGGGCAATAATAAAAAGTTTCTGAAATCCTGACAACCAAGGATTAACTCAGACTCCAGCATGTTATAAGTCCAAAGTGTGTTTCTGACAGTGTTTGCCGATGTTGCTTTTCTTGGGCAAAAGGGAAGTCATGTGTGGAAAAACGTTTAACAAGTCCTGGCCTAGAGAAACTAGCTGCTCTACCCCCCAGATTCCTGACCACAAAACTATATGATATTATTTATTCTGGGGCCAAAGAGATAGTCCAGGGGTAAGGTGCCTGCCTTGCACGCAGTCAACCCCAGTTCAATCCTGGCAGCACTTATGGTCCCTTGAACCCCACTAGGAGTGAGCCCTGAGCACAGAGCCAGGAGTAAGCCCTGAGTATGTCCAAGTGTGAAACTCCCCCCCAAAAGGCTGTTATCTATTTTAAAGATTTTGTTATATTAAGTGCAAAAAGTCTGTATTAGTTTTTTTTTAATGCAGCCATAGAAAATATATCTTCCTAGAAGGTAGAGCAATTTGAAACATACCTTCATAGAAGATATATTTTCTACTGACATATACCTTCAATTTTTCTCAGGAAACATTCTTAGAAATCAAAAGAGAAAGCTGTAAATACATATTTTGCAATTTTGTCTCTGTAACAAAATTGGTGTTAATGATAGCCCTTACTCTCCTGGATGCTTTATATTTCATGTAATCTTTACATCTGCACTAAGGGGCCAATATTTTCACTTTACAGGTAAATTACTGAAATTCCTGCTTGAAGTCACACAGCAAGAAAGTAGCAGAGCTGGGTGGGATTCAGACAGGCCTGATCTTGTTTCCAGGTACCATGTTCTGACAATTACACTGCTCCCTTCTGGAGATGGCAGAGCACTTACTCCTCGAACAAAGCAGAGAAAACTTATTTAGCTACACAGATAGCATCAAGTGCATACCTCGGAAAAAAAACAGCTTTCAAAAAAAAAATTATGACAAATGTTGAAGGTCTAGGAGAAAGTGTCCCGCTTTCATTTCTGCTGTTCCAAGAACTTATATAGTAAGAGCACTAGCAACCCCATGTCCCTAAATCCAGGAGTTGCTGCCCACAGAGCATTCAACACAACAGAGCTCTCTACTGGGAGGGTTCTTCATTTGGAGTTCAGAACACAAGCCTTCCTGGATTTCTTGTTGCTTTCTTGGCCATTCTCTCATGTCTTTTGAGCTGGTTCTACTTCCTTTTATTGAGTTAAAGGTTGCATAGTTTTAAGAGTTTTATTTCTACACACATCTTCTAGGATGATGTCATCTGGCCACAGAGCTTGAGTATCATCAATCCCCTGGACAATGCATATTCTCCTTCCCAATCTCCAGAATCCTGTCTGTACACACCTAACTGACACTTGGCTATCTAGGCGGTATCTCAAAATTAACAGGTACAGAACAGAACTCTTAACAACTTTCTCCTCCAAAACTGTTTCCTTTAGTGTCTTTCCAGTTTTAATAAATGTTACCATTTCCCCAACTACACAGCCTCAAACCTGAGGTCTCTTTGCTTCTTTCTTTCTCTTGAATCCATCAGCAGGATTTGAAGCATTTTTTTTAAAGCAACATTCACTTGGTATTATTGCGAATCCCACAAACTATTCCCGCTGCCATCACATCTAGCCAAGGCAGTAGCTTTCTAACTGGTCTCCCTGCTTCCTGTCTTGCTTCCCTATAAGCCATAATCTTTAAGAGTAGCTGAAGGAGCTTTTGAAGTGATCATGCCCACAGACAACTTTCTAGACTGCTTTCCATTATGCTTGCTACACTGCTAACCTGGCCTAAATGTTCTTGTGGAAAGCCTTATGATTATCCAGTTAACTAAGTTTTCAGATAGATTACATTAATCTGGTGTCTGGCTCACTGGAATCAACCACAAAAAAAGGAAAATAAAAGTAAGGCTCCCCTCCCTTCCTGAATGTACCCAGATATTGATGGAGAGTTTTCCCTCTTACTTGACATTTTATTTTTTTTAGTGGTTCGTTCCAATGTTTCTCTATTGCCTTAGGCCTCCATTCAGTGCCCCTTCAACCCTCTGCAAAACTCCCCAGCCCCAATATTCTCCCGCTGCAAATTTTCTTTTTACCAGTGATTTTTTTTTCTTCAATTTGGGTATTATGAAAAAATGTGAACTAGTATATTTGGCAACAAATGGATGAATAAATCACTCATCCCTCCCACTCAGACATCTTCAGAATTTGTACTTATGAACTCATCTTTAATTCATGAAATTTGCAGAAGCAGTACAATATAGGAAAGAAAAAAAAAGATTGGAACTCAGATTTTAGGAGCCTATGAATAGAAAATAGACACCGAAGAATGCTTTACATACAGTAGGCAATAAATATTTGCTGAAGGAGTAATGACGTTTCCTTCACGTAATTAGGCTAAGGGAAAGTAATCAGGCCAAAGCAACATCCTATCAGAGGGTTAAGTTTCTCTAAAAGCTTTTTCTTCTTTGAGGGAAAAGTTGTTTCGTACTATGGCTCATGGATATTACCAGGAAAGGCACAAGAAAAGTGGAGCCTGGAGTTCAGAACCCCAGCAACACATGGTCCCTAAATAGTGCTGGGGCAATCTCTAAAGCCCCAGGCCAGACATAGCCACTTAACACCTCAGATGCAGACCACAAGTTTAAAAAAAATAAAAAAGGTGCTGCAAAATGGAAAGAGGGAAGGGAAAATAATAACCAGTGTATTTTTTCGTTACATTTCATTAAAAAAAAATCTTTTGTGTTTTGGTTCAAATTTTGTTTGGTTTTGGGTTTAGGTCACACCTAGTAGTGTAAGGGAAGGTTGCTCACTGTGGTGCCTGACTTCAAAGAACGTCAGATCCAGGGCTCTAGCAAGCAACATTTATGTGCTCAGTCCCCTAAGCATCTCCCCTGGCCACGGCTGTTTTGTTTTCAATTTTTTTAAATTAATTTATTTATTGAATCACTGAGGGAAAAGTTACAAAGCTTTCAGGTTTAAGTCTTGGTCATGCAATCAAACACATTTCCCTTCACCAGTACTTATTTTTCATCACCAAGAACCCCAACATACCCCCCCAACCCTCCCAATGCCCGTGAGGCAGATGAATTCTAGTTAACACTCTATCTACTTTGATTAGATTCATTGTTTCAACAAAAGATGCACCATTATTATTTAGAGTTTACACCCCCAAATCAGACCTGCTGAAAAGACATTGTGAAATAATTTGTTTTCTACAGCTGGTTACAAAAACCAAATGATGTCGTGCAGCCACAAAAGCGGTCATGTGATTTCAGATTTCTGATATTTTACTTATTAAGCCTGGAAGTATTTCTGCCGAAAGTCACATAATTATAAGATTGGTTTTTGTGGCTCTAGAGCCATGGCTGTGCTCGTGAGCAACTCGTGGGGGGGGGGGGGGGCAACTCGTGACCTCGGTAGGGCGTGAAGACGAGCCTGAACGCCCCCCTTCCCATGAGGTTTCAGTCGCCCAGTCACGACCGGCTCAGACCTGGCTTTCCAAAAGGCTCCGAGGCGGCCGCCATCTTGATTTCCAGAGGGGAAAGGGCAGAAGGGAGCAACACGCTTTCCCTTCCAGGCAGGCATGGTGGCGTGGATTAAACACATAGTCCATTCACTTTTCTGCTGCAAGCTGCCTGTTTTCAAATTTTAATAATAAATTGAGTTCTTCACTGACAGCTTGGGACAGATGTGACTAAGATGGTGAAACAATATATTTTAGGGAAGAACCACTTATTACTTAGAGTCAGTATACTTAAAGTTCTCATTATTTGTAGCTATCTAAGAAGCTGCCAGTTTGAAAAGGGGCAAAGACATTAATAAGGAAGACAGGCCTAGAGCCCATGCTTTGTCTACTGGAGACCTAACTTTGATCCCCTGGCCCATAGAGTCCCCCAACACTACTGCGAGCAACTATTGGGCATCACTTGGTGTGGCCCAGAAGCAAACAAACAAAAGACAGAAGGCAGGGTAGGTCCTCAATGTCTACTTATTAAACAGACTTACCTGGTTAGACCCTATAGCTCCTCCACCATTTATGATGGAGTTATGTCCAGATAATCCCAGTGTAAGTTGAAAATATTATAAAAACTTACTTAATATATCCAACCTATCAAACATCATAAATCCTTCCTTAAATTACTCAGAACATTTACATCAGCCTAAAATTGGGCAAAATCAACTGTCACAAAGTTTCGTTTATAAGAAAATACTGAATGTTAAGGAATTTATCAAGTACTGTGCTGAAAATGAGAAACCGTGGTTGTATGGGTTTGCACCATTGAAGTAACATTAATTGGCCTTAAAAAAGTGTTTGGATTTAACTAAACTTTGTTGTTGAATGATGGGGATGCTATGGCAATAGGTCTATCCATTTCTTCTGTCTGATGACACTGGAGAAGAGCTGGGAGGCTGAGCTTCCTGATCCTGTGGCTGACTGAACTGAGCTACTGCACCCCAGCATCACCAGATAGTATTGCACTGTATATTGTCAGCTCGAGAAAAAGATCAAAATTCTATATGAGAAGTAAAATTTCTGCTAAGCACTGCTTTCACACTATTGCAAGTTGAAAAATTAAGTTGAACTGGAGTGTCTGTATATCTGGGCTGTAGTAAACAGATCTTCCAGAATGGGCCTAAAGCAGTTTCAGCCAAGGTCCAAGGAGATTCTGATAGCACTGGCTTGCAGTCTGTTACAAGCTAGAGCGCTCTGGGTCAGAGAGCAAGAAGATTTGAAATAAAGATGGAGCAGCAGGGATTGAGAGAAAATATTCCAGATATGATTCCAAAGCAGAGCTAACAACAGCAAAGTAGAGTTATCTTATTAAGATAAAGTCTATCTTAATAGACTTCAATAGACTTACTAGAAAAAGACAGATGAAAATACAGATAAGGACAAGAGTTATCATTAAGAAGAGATTAAGGGCAGGGAATACAGCATAATGGTGGAGCACAGATAGGGCATATAAAGAAGTTCTAGGTTGCATTCCTGACACACCCCCAACAACTCTTTTCTTAAATCTTAGCAGTCAGTTCTTTTTTTTTTTTAAGATAGAGATCGAGTGATAAAAGAGTAACACTGAGGATGAATGCTTTGGTTAAAAAAAACTTTCTGGTGCTTATTGGGCATTGAAAAATAGAGCCTCTAGACGCCAACGAAAGGAAGACACTGGTTAGGGAATCGTTGGCATTTTAAGTGTTTTAGTGTTAGCTGAAACCCAGAGAGCGACTTTAGCAAGAACTGGGGAGGAGGCGTGTACCATGAAAGCCAAAATTTGCTTCTTAGAGTATTATATAAAGTACTGTCTGGCCCGGCCCCCTTAAGAGAGGACTGCACTGAGTGAGCCTCAGACAGGGAAGGGGCAGCAGCGTTCACTCCAGAGATGATTCGTGGGAGCTGGACCCAAGCCTGAGAAACGCACTTCATCTCACAGCAACGCCGCGCAGTCCTCCCTGGCTGGAATCCTAACTCCGAAATCGGCACCGAGGGTACCGCGGAAGGTGGCAACGGTTCCAAACCCTCCTCCAGCTGCAGAGAAAGCCGCGCGAGGCTAAGGAGCGCCCGGACTCCGGCCGAACTCTTGGCGACCACCCTCCCTGGACCCTCCGTAGTCAATTCCTACTCACTTCTCGAAGAGTCCGGCCCAGCATGATCTCCGTGCTCGGCCTTGAAGCCGCAGAGACCAGGTGACGAAAAGGAAGCAGAAAGGTCATCAGATGCTACCGGTAGTACATGGGCGCAGCCATCTTGGATCGTCACGCCACCTTTCAGCACCGAGTCTTTCGATTGGTCAAATTTCGGTCGGAGGAAAGGATACTTGCACGCGATTGGCCAGCGGCTTTCTGCAACTCCCGCGACGGAGGCCAGAGGCTTGCGAGGAGGGTACAGGCTGGGGTCCTGGCGGGAGTCCCGGAGCTTCTGGTTGTTTGGGGCGTTGGGTTCGCGAGCGAAGTTGGCTTGCGGGACAGAGGGCTGTGGAGATTGTGCAGGGAGTTTTAGGGTTTTTGCATTTTTTTTTAAAGGGGAGAAAGTGTAAAAGGAGGAGAATGGACAGATGAGTTGTTACACTGTTAATTGGGGCATTTCTGATGCAAAGAGCAGAATAATGACATTTTCTTATCCCAGCACATGCTCCATTGGGTTAATCTTGTTGAATCCTCAGCTTTGAAGTCGGGTAGTTGGGTTTGTAGAATTTGGCACCCAAATTCGTGGAGGAGGGGGGAGGGTTTACTTCAGTCCAAGGGCATCTTAAATAAGAACACGCAGTTCAATCACGGCCTAAGATGGAACTTCTGAAGACCTGCGTGCTTAAAAGAAATGCACGCACTCTGTCTTGCTTCTGGAGAAGTCATGTCATACGAAAGCCTTCCGTTAGGAAGATTAGTACAACCTCCCCAAGGAGCACTGTCATGCCCGCTTGGGTGATCGATAAATATGGGAAGAATGAAGTACTTCGATTTACGGAGAACATGATGATACCTTTCATACACTATCCAAATGAAGTCATTATCAAAGTTCACGCTGCAAGTGTGAATCCCATAGATGTTAATATGAGAAGTAAGTTTTCTGACTATTCCCCCCTCCCACCCTTTTAAAAGTTCTAGAGAGAATTTCATGAGAAGTTTTCATTATTTTAAAAATATATTGTTAATTGTTTACATTTCTTTGGCGAACACAAATGAATTCTAGTTTTGACAGTTTCAGGTGTTATTAACAATTTTTTTGAAATTGCAATGTTCATGGTAGACTTTAATCTTTCATAAAACAAGTTTGAATTGTTTCCAAGCTTCCTTAAAGTGTAATTGGAACTTGGGGACTGTGTCTAGGACTAATTTTTCTGTTCTCCTCTCCTGGGGACTTTTAGCTATTTTGAGGTGTTTTGGAGATTAAGTTTTCCATCTGTTTAAAATTTGCACTTTTATAATTATTCTATAGCTTCTTTACTTTCTCACTGCCAGTTTTCTTTCAGTGGACAAAGCAGAACAGGACACCATACTTTCCTATTTGCTAGAAAAATTTTAGTGACATATGTGTCTTGTATTATATTTCTCTTGGACCATCTAGATGTGAGAAGTAGCTCTTACACATTTCTTGGGTATGCGGTTAGAGGAGACTTTAATTCATTTGAGCTGTGAAGCTCTATTAGAATGGCCAAGACTGCTGTGGCTGTCTCATGAAATCTGCACATTTATTCTTTTTTTGTTATGGCCATAGTTGCTATTACTGGCTGGGTGTGCTTATACTAACTCCTTTTGTATTAGGCATGGAGATTAGATTTCCTGGGTCAAGTCTTTAAGTTGTAGTTTTAAATCTAGTGTTTCAGTTGAGTTTTCCATCTCTGTTTATAAACTCTTTGAAGATAGATGCTTTCACTCTATTGACCACTGACTCAGTATTTGATGTTAGTTATCATTCAGTCATTTTTGGGGTCACTTTACAGTTTAATAAGATTGCAAATTAAAATTAATATTTTATCTATGAGTAACTTACATTGTCTTTGTTTAGATATATTAACTTTTTCATTTCTTTGAATGTACAGCATAATTCCACTGTCTGTATTTTAATTATAGTAAAACGGCTGGATCTGAACCTTCTTGGCTGCTACTTAGAGTGATATTATGACACATTTTATTTATATGGTATTTTTTGAGACATCTTAGTTTTTAATGATTTGTGTGTTATAGTTGTAAGTTATTTCTTTATTTTCTGCTCATGGATTTTTCTTTGAGGATGTTTTATTGTTGCAGCAGAAGGTGTCGAAATATCGGAAATGGTATCTTGGAATAATAAAATAAGCAGATTATATATTGTAGGAAACAGTAATTTCCATTGCCGAGAAAGAACATATCTACTTTATTTTGAAAGATGAAGTCAGACTTTTCCTGAAGATGACCACTATTGTTGAACATAAAATCATAAATCATATAAATGGCTAAAGAAATTAATATAATTAAATTATAATATGGCCATAGCATGATATTATGATATCATAATAACCTTTAACAATGGGGTAAAAAAATGGCCAATAAAGTTAAGTTTTTTTTTAAATTCATGGGCTTTCTTTTTTCACTTTTTTCTTTTTTTGCTCATGGACTTCTGTCTCAGCTCAGTGCTCAGGGATTATTTCTGGTGATGCTTATGGGACCATGCAGTCTGGGATTGAATCTGGGATTGCTGCATGCTTAATTAGCACATGCTTGGGCTGGAGGGATAGCACAGCGGGTAGGGCATTCGCCTTACAAGCGGCCAACATGGCCGACCCGAGTTCGATTCCTCCGCCCCTCTCGGAGAGCCTGGCAAGCTACCGAGAGTATTGGATATGCCAGACACAGTAAAAACAAAGTCTCCAATGGAGACGTTACTGGGCCCGCTCGAGCAAATTGACGATCAACGGGAGGGCCTTTACCTTTACCTTTACCTTAATGTAAATCAAGCGCATTAATGTACCTAACATATTAATGCTTTAAACTGACCTATATCCCTGATGTAGCTTTTGGAGGAAACAGAAAAATTCTATCTTACAGGTGGCTATGGAGCTACAGCTTTAAATATGAAACGTGACCCTTTACACATTAAAACCAAAGGAGAAGAATTTCCCCTGACCCTGGGTCGGGATGTGTCTGGTGTAATAATGGAATGTGGACTTGATGTGAAGTATTTCAAACCTGGAGATGAGGTGAGTTCAGAAACACCACAATTCCTTTCCTAAGTGTGCCAGTGTCTTTCTTAAAGGTTTGAAAATATGTTCCATGTCACCTTTTGAATGTTACTGGCTTTTTTCAACATATATATATATTTTTTTGGTATTTGTTTGTTTGTAGATTTATACTTGGCCATGCTCTGGGGACCATGTGGGGTTTGGGATTGAACCTAAGCCCTGCCTGCAAAAGTACACTCCAGCCCTTGGGCCATCTTCCCTGCCCATCACATACAGTGAGCTTTGACCAGAACCCTCATTTGCTTGGTCTCTTGTTACATTTTTCACAAATAGTTCCAAAATAGAAACTATACTTAAATTTTCTTAAGTGGTTAAGAATCACAAGACTTGTAAAATATGTAGAATTGGGACTGGATTTTTTTTTAATGAGTCTTTCATTGGCGGTTTCTATCTTATGAGTTGGATGGTTAAATCAGTAGAGTGTAGTAGACAAATGACAAAAATCACTTGTCATTTTGAATTTAGATACCGGGAAATTAAATTGAGCTCTTAAAAAGGACACTACCTACCCCTGATGGTGTGGGGAAGCTTAGAGCTATCTCGGGAGCTGGATGCCATGCCTCACACATGCATTGGTATGTGTTCTCACATTTCTGGTCCACCAGAGACATTATTCTTCCAGGTTTTCCAAGTCCTTGCTTCTTAATATGGAGGTTGTGACCCTATATGGAGTTATATAATTAAATCTGAGAGTTGGGGACTAGGGGGATCACAAAAAGTTTGACAATGGTAAAAGGTTTCAGAAGGCATAACAACGCAAAATTCAGAATCAAAACACTTCATGAATTTGGTAGCAACTGGCCAATGTGACATCTCTCCGACCAAAGAGGGGTTGTGAGTGGGAAAAGTCAAAGAGGCCTGCTTGAGTTGCTAGTTAAGTGCGACTTGCCTCCAATGTGGTTTGAAGGGATCAATCCAGAATCATATGAAGTAATACTTTGATATCATGTGAAAACTCATTTGCTTGGGGTGTTGCTTTTTGTCACAGGGTGAGGTGTGCACTTGGGAACACCCTTATGCTTAGCCTGGGCTAGACAGTACCTGTTCCTAATGAAGGCACGTATGTGTGTGTGTTGCAGGTCTGGGCCGCGGTGCCTCCCTGGAAACAAGGCACCCTCTCAGAGTTTGTTGTCGTCAGTGGGAATGAGGTAACTTGCCAGCCCTGCTGAAGTGCCGTTAGACAGTCTAAACAAAGACTGACAAATACCTCTGAAAGAACTGGTTGTTGTTTTTTTTTTTTTTTCAGGTTGGCCTCATGTTTTGTGGGCAGTTTTGAAAGAGCTAAGACTGAGAATAGGGATTTTTTTTAAAGATCAAAGACTATTTAAGACTGTTTAATAATGTAGCCTGCCAAAGTGATTGTCTTTGGCTGGTAGAGCAGGGGTTTACCGGAGCAAAAGTTAGAAGCCCGGCTGAGTTTCTTGATTTTCACCCAGTATTAATAGGTGAAACCAAGTATTCTAAATGGCAATGAAGCATAAACAGAAGCATAGATGTATCAAAGGGTTTCAGATAACTCGAAAAGTAGGAGTTTAATCAAATACAGTCAGGAAGCCTGACAATTCACATAGAAAGGGGTTAACATTTTAGGCTAACAACTAGGCTAAAAACTGAAAGGGGTTAACAACTAGGATATTGGCTACAAAAGGGAGGACAGGAAGAAAAAAAGTGGGTTTTACTGAGATTAGAGAAAGTCTAGAAAGATAACCTTCCAGTAAAATAGCTGACCTCAGAAACAAATTAGATTATCTTTATGAGGACTAGGGGTTTATGCAGATTTATTTCGAGGTATGACCAGGACTAATGGAATTATTGAATATGGTCTTTATGAAGTATTAAGGAGCTATATCTAATAACACAGCCCATAACATATTACTGAGCCTCTGGATGCAGATTGGGTCATTTGGAGAATATTCCTTATGGTTAATTTTGGATTAGGATATACAGTAAATGCTAAACCTGGCAGAGTCATGCAGACTTATCTCTAAAATCCACTGGATTTGTGCGTAATTATGTTCATGGGTTTTCAAACATAGCATTGCTTGTTTTTACATCATTTATTGTTTCCAAATCGAGGTCTCCTTCAAGCCCAGATCACTCACGCACACTCAAGCTGCCTCTTTGCCATATGTTGCTCTCACAGCCTGGTCTGCCATCAACAAAATTGGTGGCCTGGATGACAAGAATTGCTCTGGAAAACGGTAAGTATATGTGTGTTTTATAGAAATTTATGGTAGAATGGGAGCTTTGATGCTTTCCTTCTATTCCTTCATGCATTTATGTGCACCCTGGTTAGAGAATTCTCCTGTTGCCATTTCTGGGTTCTTTAGGCAGATGGATTTTATTTTTTGATTTGTTTGGTTTTTAAAAATATTCTTCAGAAAACATTTAAAAACAGATAAAGTACACTCTCCTTGGGTACATAGGTGTGTGTTCCAGTTTATTGTGTAATTTCTTGGTGCCGTTATCTTTTCTTTAAGGCTTGGAACTGGGAAAGCAAACGACAACATGCATGCTGTTTATATGTTTGCAATTTCCTCCTTTTGTAGGGCTAAGTGTTGGGCTAGGTAGGTTAGGAGAGGAGCTTTGAGAAATAGAAAGTTTTATGCTAAGTGAACTATATACTCTGTTGACTTGGATCTGTCATTGCGTTAGCCCTATATTGACCAAACTGGATTGAAACCATTGTAATGAGTCTCACTGGATTTCGCCTTGGAATGCCGTTGCATTCCCACAGGCACTGTGACAGGCCTGGTGATCAGTCACTTGTCTTGGTTTTGAACAACTCTGAGTTTTGGCCCTCAGAGCTTCAGGGAATTTCAGGTCACTGACATCCCTGTGCATAGTAGTGATAGTGGCTTGCTTCTCTGCTTATTTGTTTGTCAGGATCACATGAAAAATGTCATCACCTTAAAATATTGTACAAATACTATTATTTGAAGAGATTATTATAGTAGGATGTTCCAATATCCAAAGGACTTCTATTTTCAGTTTGACTCTTGGTTGTGAATGGCGGAGCATATTTTGGCTTTTCTAAGCAATTGTTACTCTCTTTTTCCTGTTAGTCCTTGGCGTTGTGGTGCATTTTGGCATGCAGTAAGCAGGTCAGTGATGGTCATTAAGGACTATCAGTCTTTTTTCTAATGAGTTAGTTAAAAACAATCTTTGACTCTTTCTTCAAGTCTGTGTTCTCCCTTGAACACGTATCATGTCATGCTTGCATGTCTTTGTTTCTTTGCTTGCCTGTTTCCACTCCAGAGAAGCCTGTATTCTTTGTTGAATACACACTTCTTCCTTTCCTGTACACACACTCTGCACACACACACACACACACACACACACACACAGACAGACAGACAGACACACACACACACACACACACAAAACTCACGAAATCACAGTGACAGCAACACTCATAAGTACCTTGAAGATTTTATAAGATTTCCTTATATCGGGGCTGGAGCAATAGCACAGCAGGAAGGCCTTTTGTCTTGCACATGGCCAACCCGCGTTCTATCCCAGTATCCCATATGGTCCTCTGAGCACCACCAGGAGTAATTCATGAGTGCATGAGCCAGGAGTAACCCCTGTGCGTTGCCAGGTGTGACCCAAAGAGAAAAATAAAAAAAGACAGGTGTTGGAACACTGTATGACTGAAACCCAATCTTGAACAACTTTGTAACTATCTCATGGTGATTCAATAAAAATATATATTAAAAAAAATTCTTCATATCAAATAGTTTTTTTAAGGGTTCAATGCTATATACCTGTTGCTCTTTGTCATATAGCCATAGTTTTGCAATAACTGAGTATCAATGGGCCAGGGGATAATTTAATATGGATGTCATATAATCATTTTGTCCATACTTAGGTATCCTAGAAACTTCTCAGTGAAATGCTATCCTAGATACTGGCTTATCCATAGTTTATTCATGATGTATTCATGAAGAGCACATGAATAGCTTGGGGCTCTGAAGAATAGAAATGGGTTGGATTTGGGGGTGGAGGTACATCCAGTTGTGCTCAGGGATCACTCCTTGATGTGCTCAAGAGACCATATGTAATGTTGGGGATCATGCCACGTTGACCATTTGCAAGGCAAGTGCCTTAACCCCTGTATAGTTTTCTGGCCCCATTTCTTATCACTTTTAGAGGTGCCATCTTCTAGTGAAAAGCAGTTATTTTTACAGAGCCCACTCCAGTTCTTGCTGACTGCCAGAGTTGGTTCTTCTGTTGCTATTGGGATCACTTGCAGATCTAGGTTTCTTTTCTTTTGTGGGGTGGGTGGATCCAGAGGCCATTCCTAGTGGTGCTCAACCCTCAGGTGACAGAGGGTTAGGTGTTTGGACTCAGCCATATGGTGCTTTCCAGGCCCTATGGGACTGGGGGCAACTAGGGTGCCATCCCAGTAGAGCTTGGAGGCCACTGGAGTCATACCACAGTTTGGGCAGCTGGCTCTATAGCCACTGGTGCTTGGGAATGGGGACCACTAGGGCTAGGCCTGGCATTGCCTACCAGAGGATAGGCTCACGGTACCAAGGACCAGAATCGAGGCCTTTTGTAGGCTAGATATCAGCTCTGTTTCTTTGGGCTCTCCCTGGCCTCACATCTGTGTTTCTAAGTTTAACCACTCTATTGACTTCCAAGCTGATATCACATTTGAATCTGAAACCCAAGTTGCACCAAACAAGATGCATAACTCTCCTGGCACTTCCTCTGTATTCCTGATGTCAGGTCTCAGTTAACTGTGACTTGCCTTAAGCCCAAACCCAACCCCATTCCCAAACTCAACCCCATTCTCAAACTCTACCCTACCTTTTCCACGACAAGGCTCCTTCCCTTGTTCATGTCATGTAAAATGCAGGATTTTAGTCAAGTTTGAAAAAATGTTCTTCCAAGTGTCTTTAATATCTAAGTGCTAAGAGTTTAAAGCATTTCAAATCATTTTCATGCAAATACTGTTGCATTTTAACTGATAACATTCATCAAGGAATTTGTCCTTGATCTCCCTACTAGTGGTGTGCCATAAGTTTCTACATGTCTCTTAATTGGGATATTTAACTATGGTTCTTTCACTGATCACATAATCCAGTGGTAGGTGCTGTGAGCGTCTCCTTATGATAAAACCTAATGATGCCTTGGTGTATTGACTTAATGGGAAGGACTATTCCTAAAAGTTTTTTTTTCTTTTTTTTTTCTTTTTTGGTCACACCTGGCGATGCACAGGGGTTACTCCTGGCCCATGCTCTTAGTAACTACTCCTGGCGGTGCTCAGAGGACCATATGGGATGCTGGTAATCGAACCCGGGTCGGCCACATGCAAGGCAAATGCCCTACCTGCTGTACTATCACTCCAGCCCCCTAAAAGTGATTCTTTTTTTTTTAATGTAGGAGTACTGCTATTTATTCATCCACTGATTAGCTGATTGAATTGAGCATGAACTCCACCTTACTTTTTTTTTCATAATTTTATTTATTCATTTTTTTCTTATATTTATTTATTGAATCACTGTGGGAAAAGTTACTAAGCTTTCAGGTCTAAAAGTGATTTTTAAACTAGGAAAGTATTTCTCAAATTTTTCTAAGAACTTGGCTGGAGTGGTAGCACAGTGGTAGGGCATTTGCCTTGCGCGCAGCCAGCCCGGCCAAGCCGGGTTCGATTCCTCCGCCCCTCTCGGAGAGCCCGGCAAGCTACCGAGAGTATCTTGCCCGCACGGCAAAGCCTGGCAAACTCTCCGTGACATATTTGATATGCCAGACACGGTAACAACAAGTCTCAAAATGGAGACATTACTGGGCCCGCTCGAGCAAATCGATGAACAACGGGAGAACAGTGTTTGTTTTTGTTTTCTAAGAACTATTAGAATATCCTGCTAAATTCAAAGCAAATATATTTCCAAACCAAATTCTCTTTTCTCCAAATCTTAGCAGATGAGTGGGGAATATAATGGAGGGCATATAGGAATGGAAGGGAATAGTTTCAAGGTGCTTAGTAAGGGAGGAATCATAATTTTCTCCCTATCTTCCTGAGTGCTCTGCTGAGACCCTTAAATAAAACAGATGAGCGAGCAAAAATAGGTTTATGACCATCTCTACCTCATATATCCTTGGAAGACAAAAATCTGACTAGAGGACTGGAGAGATGGTACAGTGGGTAGAGGCTTGCTTTGCACACAGCTGACCCTGGCACCACATAAGGTCTCCTGAGCCCCATCAGGACTGATACCTGAGTGGAGCCAGGAGTGAGCCCTGAGCATAGCTTGGTATGGCCCCAACTCCCTGCCGCTCCTCCAAATATGTAAGTAGCTCAGAGGTGGCTTAGAATCCAGGATGAGGAACTGGAGCGATAGCACATAGGGTAGGGCCTTGCACGTGGCTGACACTAATTCGATTCCCAGCATCCCATATGGTCCCCTAAGCACCATCAGGAGTAATTCCTGAGTGCAGAGCCAGGAGTAAACCCTGTGCATCGCCGGGTGTGACCAAAAAGCAAAAGAAAGCAACAATAACAACAAAAGAAAAAAGAATCCAGGATGAACTACTGACTCTAAAGACAGATGAGATAGGCATGCAGGGAGGAGGCCCTAGGAGAAGTTTCCAGGAAGACCGTGACAGACATGAGCTTGTCGTTTGCAATGTGGACCTTATGCTTGTGACTTCTTTTTTTTTTTTTTTTTTTTAATTTTTATTAGTGAGACACCATGAGGTACAGTTGTAGACTTACAAATTTTGTGCTTGGGTTTCAATTATACAATGATCAAATACTCATCCCTCCACCAGTGCCCATTTCCCACCACCATGGATCCCAGTATCCCTCCCACCCCCCCGTCTCCCCTATCCCACCCCACCTCTGTGGCAGGGCTTTCCCTTTTGTTCTCTCTCTCCTTTTGGGTGTTGTGGTTTGCAAAAGAGGCATTGAGTGGCAATCATGTTTGGCCTATAGTCTATTTTCAAATGCTGTGACTTCTGATCGTCAACAGGCTTTGAAGTCAAATTTTATTTGGTCCTTGCTGGTAACAAGGCGACAACTTTGTAAACATATGTTCTGCTTTTATACAAATATAGGAGGAGTTTTTATTTCTCTTCATTGTTGTGAAGGCACACCTTGCTGAGGGGACCTGGCACCAGTACCTGCAGAGCACTGCCAACCATGGAGAGCCAGTGACTCACGCAGGACTGTGCACTCACGCAGGGCACCCGG